CAAACTAAGCTCCAAGTTTACAAAGCTGTCGTACTTCCTGTACTTCTCCATGCATGTGAAACATGGACCGTTTACCAGCGCAGTGCTAAGAAGCTGAACCATTTCCACACTGTTTGCCTCAGAAAGTTGCTGAACATAAAATGGCAAGAACGGATCCCTGACACTGAACTCCTTGACAGGGCTGGACTACAAAGAATTTACTTGATTCTTAAACAATCATAACTTTGCTGAGCAGGTCATTTAGTCCGCATGCTTGACCACAGACTACCAAAAATAATTTTTATAGTGAGCTACTAAAAGAAAACGCTCTCAGGGTGAACAGAAGAAACGTTTTCAGGACAGCCTCAATACCTCACTGACAGACTGTTATCCTCAATCCTGGGCAATCGGGTGGACAGAAGAAACGTTTTCAGGACAGCCTCAATAGCTCACTGACAGACTGTTATCCTAAACCCTGGGCAATCGGGTGGACAGAAGAAACGTTTTCAGGACAGCCTCAATAGCTCACTGACAGACTGTTATCCTAAACCCTGGGCAATCGGGTGAACAGAAGAAACGTTTTCAGGACAGCCTCAATACCTCACTGACAGACTGTTATCCTAAACCCTGGGCAATCGGGTGAACAGAAGAAACGTTTTCAGGACAGCCTCAATAGCTCACTGACAGACTGTTATCCTCAATCCTGGGCAATCGGGTGGACAGAAGAAACGTTTTCAGGACAGCCTCAATACCTCACTGACAGACTGTTATCCTAAACCCTGGGCAATCGGGTGAACAGAAGAAACGTTTTCAGGACAGCCTCAATAGCTCACTGACAGACTGTTATCCTAAATCCTGGGCAATCGGGTGAACAGAAGAAACGTTTTCAAGACAGCCTCAATACCTCACTGACAGACTGTTATCCTCAATCCTGGGCAATCGGGTGGACAGAAGAAACGTTTTCAGGACAGCCTCAATACCTCACTGACAGACTGTTATCCTCAATCCTGGGCAATCGGGTGGACAGAAGAAACGTTTTCAGGACAGCCTCAATACCTCACTGACAGACTGTTATCCTAAACCCTGGGCAATCGGGTGAACAGAAGAAACGTTTTCAGGACAGCCTCAATAGCTCACTGACAGACTGTTATCCTCAATCCTGGGCAATCGGGTGGACAGAAGAAACGTTTTCAGGACAGCCTCAATAGCTCACTGACAGACTGTTATCCTCAATCCTGGGCAATCGGGTGGACAGAAGAAACGTTTTCAGGACAGCCTCAATAGCTCACTGACAGACTGTTATCCTAAATCCTGGGCAATCGGGTGGACAGAAGAAACGTTTTCAGGACAGCCTCAATACCTCACTGACAGACTGTTATCCTAAATCCTGGGAAATCGGGTGGACAGAAGAAACGTTTTCAGGACAGCCTCAATACCTCACTGACAGACTGTTATCCTAAATCCTGGGAAATCGGTGCATGTGACCGCTCATCATGGTGCTCCTCTCTTCATCAAGGAGTTGTGGTCCATGAAGCTGCTAGAACAGCAGCAGCAATTCAGAAAAGACACTGAAGCAAATCACCAGAGAGGCACGGCCTCAATTCCCTGTCCACACTGCTCAAGTACTTTCAGTGCTAAAACTGACCTTATCAGCCATCAGCGTACTCACAAAACCTAACCCAGTCATCATTGGATAAAATGACCGGTCATCATCACTTGTGATGGACAGTGAGGACAGAGATTAGTGCCTGTGGCTAGAGCGCCTGTTATACGGGTCTTTCTAGCCTGTCTTGGCTGGATTGGCTTTTTACCCCACCAGGACATCACACAAGCGATAAACACCCGATGACACAAAGTGCCACCATGCGGATGAGGATCACCGTGGAGAGGTCCCAGAAACCGCGTTCAGACATTTGGCCATAATGATGACCTGCCTATATTGCGGCCCCTGGCAAAAGCCAGAGTGGGGCTTCAAATAACAAAAAATAACGTCCTAAGAAGGATGTATTGAATGTCTTGGCTGTTCAGCCGCCATTTTTCTAGATTTTTCTGCGCCTCTTCGCCTAGAGGTTCGCCATTCAGTCCCGTCTTGTTCAGCAGCCTTTCAAGTGTCAGAGTTTTTACTGAGAGATTTAAGTGCGGCCTTTAGCGTGCCCTTGAAGCGATCTTTTCTTTTCTAGCCACCAAGATTGCGTCTTCCTTCCTGTATTTCAGCATTTATGTTTTAGGAGCCGATATTCTGGCAAGCGGACGAGCTTACTAGCCCATCTCTAGAAACTACAATACCAATACAACATCCAACATCTCTGGAAGCTACAATACCAATACAACAGACAACACCCCTGGAAGCTACAATACCAATACAACATCCAACATCTCTGGAAGCTACAATACCAATACAACAGACAACATCTCTGGAAGCTACAATACCAATACAACAGACAACATCTCTAGAAACTACAACACCAATACAACAGACAACATCTTTGGAAGCTACAATACCAATACAACAGCCAACATCTCTTTAACTACAATCCCAATACAACAGCCATCATCTCTGGAACTACAATCCTAATACAACTAATAGTAAAACAGCCAAAATCTCTGGAAGCTACAATACCAATACAACAGCCAACATCTCTTTAACTACAATCCCAATACAACAGCCAACATCTCTGGAACTACAATCCCAATACAACTACCAGTAAAACAGCCAAAATCTCTGGAAGCTACAATACCAATACAACAGCCAACATCTCTGAATGCTACAATACCAATACAACAGCCAACATCTCTTTAACTACAATCACAATACAACAGCCAACATCTCTGAAAGCTACAATACCAATACAACAGACAACATCTCTGGAAGCTGCAATACCAATACAACAGACAACATCTCTGGAAGCTACAATACCAATACAACATCCAACATCTCTGGAAGCTAAAATACCAATACAACGGACAACATCTCTGGAAGCTACAATACCGATACAACAGCCAACATCTCTTTAACTACAATCCCAATACAACAGCCAACATCTCTGGAACTACAATCCCAATACAACTACCAGTAAAACAGCCAAAAACAGTATAAACCCATTGCTGCTGTTACAAGCATGTCGTAAATGTCGACTAAGTACAGTTGTTTCCTACGACTTCTGAGTGCATCTGCCATTGATTCAAGGAAGCACATTCTGCATACAAATAAACCAGATCTGTAAAACGTTTGGAACGCAAAACTCAAGTTTTGGATAAAGACAAGTCTGGACGTGGACCAAAAACCCAAAGTTTGCGCCGGAGTTTACAGCCAATGAATAAGAAGAAGAAGAAAAATGGAACGATGTGACCGAGATACAGATGTCGTGGTGTTAGCTAGATGCGATGGTCAAGAATAGGTTTACTTAGTGCCAGATGGCTGGAGGCCTTTGCTCCACTGGAAGAAGCTTGAAAAAGGAATACAACAGAAACTACGCACGCACGCACGCATAGCTGCACGCACCCACCCTCCACACACACACACATATAGACACATACACACAATATATAATATTCATGCCTCCTCTCTGTGCACACCATTATATTCATACCTCTATATTCGCCTCTTCTTCCTCCTCCTTCGTCAACATACCCCTTACTTCATCCCCTGTACCCACTTCTACCCTAACGTCCAACCCACCATACCCAAGCCTCATCCACCGATACACCATTATACTCCTGCCTCTGCCTCCCCAATTTTCACTATTCTGTCTCTGTCCTTTTTACTTCATTCACCCCGTTATGGTAGAGCTTTTTCAATCTGTCGACTCCCCGCCACATCCCTCCGTCATCATCAATTCATCGCCGCTGGCGCCTCCTCATCACCACTATGTCTGTAATCATCTTCCTCGTCCTCGTACTTCAACCTCCCCAATATCATCAGCACAACTTTAGCCAGAGGGCGGCCTGGCTGAGCGTTTCGGGGTCCCCCTCCAGTTCACTTCTGTCCCAGGCTAGGACTGCAACACATCAGGACAGTTTGCTCGGCCAGTGATTCAAGACTAGTATTAAAACTGGAACAGCAATTATCATCGCTACCGTCATCATCATCATCATCGTCGACGTTATCATTTTTGTGATAATCATCATCATCTTCGTCGTCGTCATCACCATCGTCATTAAAATCATCGTCATCATCTTCATTGTTACCACCATCATTACAATCATTATCGTCATTATCGTCATCATTGACATCGTCTTTATCGTTACCATCTTTACAACGGTGATAACCGTCATCATCATCATCATTATCGCTACCATTATCATAGTTTTTGTCAACATTATCATTATCATCATCACCATCAGAACCATCATCATCGTCATTATAATAGTCATCATCCTCCTTATAAAAACAATCATTATGATGGTGATGATAAGTGCGATCTCTATCACCATCATTATCATAGCTATTATCATTATCATCATCATCACAACCATCAACAACAACAACCACAACTATAACATTACAACAGCTGAAAATTATCAAACAAAACCAACAACACGGGATTGACTGCGATGACATGAAGTTTATTTTGTAGGGATGTCTCTGCTAGAAGATCTAATCACAAGGACATAAGCCAGTATCTCTGCTAGAGGATCTGATCACAAGGACAGAAGCCAGTATCTCTGCTAGAGGATCTAATCACAAGGACAGAAGCCAGTATCTCTGCTAGAGGATCTAATCACAAGGACAGAAGCCAGTATCTCTGCTAGAGGATCTAATCACAAGGACAGAAGCCAGTATCTCTGCTAGAGGATCTAATCACAAGGACAGAAGCCAGTATTTCTGCTAGAGGATCTAATCACAAGGACAGAAGCCAGTATCTCTGCTAGAGGATCTAATCACAAAGACAGAAGCCAGTATCTCTGCTAGAAGATCTAATCACAAAGACAGAAGCCAGTATCTCTGCTAGAGGATCTAATCACAAGGACAGAAGCCAGTATTTCTGCTAGAGGATCTAATCACAAGGACATAAGCCAGTTTATTCAGATATGGATACAGCCTGGTTACGTGTTTTAACCAAAAACTGGAAAACGATGTCCTCATAAACGACATCAGGACAGCAGGTGTATGTGATGCTGTTCTTCTTGGAGGATGTGGACAGGAGATCGTAGTTGGGGATCGGGAGGTAGTCAGTCAGGTCGATGCCGGATCCAGGGTTTGATATCGACAAGATGTTCCCATTGCGTGTCCATGACGCAAACTTTAGTGTGCAATTTGCTCCACTGTTAGAAGTAATGTTCTGAAGGTCGCAGGGCACTCGCACCCGGACAGTTGACACCAGAATCACCTCGCCATTGTTTCTGACGGTAGCAGCCGAAGGTGAGACAACTTCGGCCAAGTTGATGGCGTTGTAGATGACGATGTCCGGCAGCCAGAGATACTTGGTGGCCAAACTGACGCTCGTCTCGTTAAACTCTTCCCAGCTGACACTCCAGGCCAGAGCCGGGTTAGTCCAGGAAAGTCTTTGCCTGAGAAGAATTTCAATCTCATTTCTGTCCGTGTCCACGTCTACGATTTTAAGGAGAGACAGGTCAATGACCACCTGCAAGGGACCATCGCTGGAGTCAAGTATAGGTATGATATCCGGGTTAGAGGTCTCAGTCAGGAAGGAAATTATTGGTGACTGTCTGAGTCGGACCGCAGAAGTGATTGCCACCGCTGGAAATAACAGCAAGTGTTACAGTTAGTCACTTTCTTAGTGGATTGTGCTTTGTGGAGTGTGCTTGTGAAGTGTCCCTGTGGATTGTGCTTGTGAAATGTGCTTTTGGAGTGTGCTTGTGGAGTGTGCTTGTGGAGTGTGCTTGTGGAGTGTGCTTGTGGAGTGTGCTTGTGGAGTGTGCTTGTGGAGTGTGCTTGTGAAGTTTGCTTGTGAAGTGTGCTTGTGGAGTGTGCTTGTGGAGTGTGCTTGTGAAGTGTGCTTGTGGAGTGTGCTTGTGGGAACCATCATTATCTTTATACTGCTTCTATCAATAACATAGTCATCATCATAATCAGCATCGCACTTTTGCAAGATCCATGGCTGATTCATCTATGTGGACATTTTAATCTTCTTCTGGTGCCTCTTTCGCTGTTTCTTACTCTTGTTCCCTCCACTTTATTTTGTCTTCTCTTCTCCCTCTTCCTCTGCTCCATTTTCCTCTTCTCCTTCTAATTTCGTTTCCTCTTTCATTTACTCCTCTTTCGCCCCTTATTCTTTATCTTCCCTCTATTTTTTCTGCTCACATCCTCCTACACCTTTCGTTCAGTCGTTCTTTACTTTATTTCAAGCCCTTGTGATACACTGCTACAAATATTACCAGCAACAACTACCAGAACACCAACACATGTGACCACCAGCAGAAAACCCACAAATGTGACCACTACCAGCACACCCACAAATGTGACCACTACCAGCACACCTACAAATGTGACCACTACCAGCACACCTACAAATGTGACCACTACCAGCACACCTACAAATGTTGACCACTAGCAGCACACCTACAAATGTTGACCACTACCAGCACACCTACAAATGTTGACCACTACCAGCACACACACAAATGTGACCACTACCAGCACACACACAAATGTGACCACTACCAGCACACCTACAAATGTGACCACTACCAGCACACCCACAAATGTGACCACTAGCAGCACACCCACAAATGTAACCACTAGCAGCACACCCACAAATGTGACCACTACCAGCACACCCACAAATGTGACCACTACCAGCACACCAACAAATGTGACCACTACCAGCACACCTACAAATGTGACCACTACCAGCACACACACAAATGTGACCACTACCAGCACACCCACAAATGTGACCACTACCAGCACACCCACAAATATGACCACTACCAGCACACACACAAATGTGACCACTACCAGCACACACACAAATGTGACCACTACCAGCACACCTACAAATGTGACCACTACCAGCACACCTACAAATATGACCACTACCAGCACACCTACAAATATGACCACTACCAGCACACCACCAAATATGACCACTACCAGCACACCTAAAAATGTGACCACTACCAGCACACCTAAAAATGTGACCACTACCAGCACACCTACAAATGTGACCACTACCAGCACACCTACAAATGTGACCACTACCAGCACACCTACAAATATGACCACTACCAGCACACCCACAAATATGACCACTACCAGCACACCTACAAATGTGACCACTACCAGCACACACACAAATATGACCACTACCAGCACACCTACAAATGTGACCACTACCAGCACACCTACAAATGTGACCACTACCAGCACACCTACAAATATGACCACTACCAGCACACCCACAAATATGACCACTACCAGCACACCTACAAATATGACCACTACCAGCACACCTACAAATGTGACCACTACCAGCACACCTACAAATGTGACCACTACCAGCACACCTACAAATGTGACCACTACCAGCACACCTACAAATGTGACCACTACCAGCACACCCACAAATATGACCACTACCAGCACACACACAAATGTGACCACTACCAGCACACACACAAATGTGACCACTACCAGCACACCTACAAATATGACCACTACCAGCACACCACCAAATATGACCACTACCAGCACACTACAAATGTGACCACTACCAGCACACCTACAAATGTGACCACTACCAGCAAACCTACAAATGTGACCACTACCAGCAAACCTACAAATGTGACCACTACCAGCAAACCTACAAATGTGACCACTACCAGCACACCTACAAATATGACCACTACCAGCACACCCACAAATATGACCACTACCAGCACACCTACAAATGTGACCACTACCAGCACACACACAAATATGACCACTACCAGCACACCTACAAATGTGACCACTACCAGCACACCTACAAATGTGACCACTACCAGCACACCCACAAATATGACCACTACCAGCACACCTACAAATGTGACCACTACCAGCACACCCACAAATATGACCACTACCAGCACACCTACAAATGTGACCACTACCAGCACACCTACAAATGTGACCACTACCAGCACACCTACAAATGTGACCACTACCAGCACACCCACAAATATGACCACTACCAGCACACCCACAAATATGACCACTACCAGCACACCCACAAATATGACCACTACCAGCACACCTACAAATGTTGACCACTACCAGCACACCTACAAATGTTGACCACTACCAGCACACCCACAAATATGACCACTACCAGCACACCCACAAATATGACCACTACCAGCACACCTACAAATGTGACCACTACCAGCACACCTACAAATGTGACCACTACCAGCACACCCACAAATATGACCACTACCAGCACACCTACAAATGTGACCACTACCAGCACACACACAAATGTGACCACTACCAGCACACACACAAATGTGACCACTACCAGCACACCTACAAATATGACCACTACCAGCACACCTACAAATATGACCACTACCAGCACACCTACAAATATGACCACTACCAGCACACCTACAAATATGACCACTACCAGCACACCTACAAATATGACCACTACCAGCACACCTACAAATATGACCACTACCAGCACACCTACAAATGTGACCACTACCAGCACACCTACAAATGTGACCACTACCAGCACACCTACAAATGTTGACCACTACCAGCACACCTACAAATGTTGACCACTACCAGCACACCTACAAATGTTGACCACTACCAGCACACCTACAAATGTGACCACTACCAGCACACCTACAAATGTGACCACTACCAGCAAACCTACAAATGTGACCACTACCAGCACACCTACAAATGTGACCACTACCAGCACACCTACAAATGTTGACCACTACCAGCACACCTACAAATGTTGACCACTACCAGCACACCTACAAATGTTGACCACTACCAGCACACACACAAATGTGACCACTACCAGCACACACACAAATGTGACCACTACTATCACACCTACAAATGTGACCACTACCAGCACACCTACAAATGTGACCACTACCAGCACACCCACAAATGTGACCACTACCAGCACACCTACAAATGTGACCACTACCAGCACACACACAAATGTGACCACTACCAGCACACCCACAAATGTGACCACTACAAGCACACCCACAAATATGACCACTACCAGCACACCGACAAATATGACCACTACCAGCACACCTACAAATGTGACCACTACCAGCACACCTACAAATGTGACCACTACCAGCACACCTACAAATGTGACCACTACCAGCACACCCACAAATATGACCACTACCAGCACACCTACAAATGTGACCACTACCAGCACACACACAAATGTGACCACTACCAGCACACCTACAAATGTGACCACTACCAGCACACCTACAAATATGACCACTACCAGCACACCTACAAATATGACCACTACCAGCACACCTACAAATATGACCACTACCAGCACACCTACAAATATGACCACTACCAGCACACCTACAAATGTGACCACTACCAGCACACCTACAAATATGACCACTACCAGCACACCCACAAATATGACCACTACCAGCACACCCACAAATATGACAACTACCAGCACACACCAAATGTGACCACTACCAGCACACTACTAGGGCGGCGACTACTAGGGCAGGGACTACTAGGGCGACTACAAGGACAGCGACTACTAGGGTAGCGACTACTACGCAGCGACTACTAGGGCAGCGACTACTAGTCCAGCGACTACTAGGGTAGCGACTACTAGGACAGCGACTACTAGGGCAGCGACTACTAGTCCAGCGACTACTAGGGTAGCGACTACAATGACAGCGACTACTAGGACGGTGACTACTAGGGTGGCGACTACTAGGGTGGCGACTACTACGGCGGCGACTACTAGGGCGGCGACTACTAGGGTGGCGACTACAAGGGTGGCGACAACTAGGGTGGCGACAACTAGGGCGGCGACTACTAGGACAGCGACTACTAGGGTAGCGACTACTAGGACAGCGACTACTATGCTGGAGACTACAAGGGCGGCGACTACTATGACAGCGACTATTAGGGCGGTGACTACTAGGGCTGCAACAGTGAGGACAGCAATACTAGTACAGTCACAACTAAGGGGGCAACTACTATTACAGCGACTACTAGTACAGCGACTACTAGGACAGCGACCACTAGGGCGGCGACTACTAGTACAGCGACTACTAGGGCGGCGACTACTAGGGCGGCGACTACTAGGGCGGCGACTACTAGGGCGGCGACTACTAGGGCAGCGACTACTAGGGTGGCGACTACTAGGGCGGCGACTACAAGGATGGCGACAACTAGGGCTGCAACAGTGAGGGCGGCAATACTATTAAATTGACAACTAAGGCGGCGACTACTAGGGCAGCGACTACTAGGGCGGTGACTACTAGGGCAGCAACTACTAGGGCAGTGACTACTAGGACAGCGACTAATAGGACAGCGACTACTAGGGCAGCGACTACTAGAGCAGCAACTACTAGGACAGTGACTACTAGGACAGCGACTAATAGGACAGCGACTACTAGGGCAGCAACTACTTGGGCAGCGACTACAGGGACAGCGACTACTTGCGCAGCGACTACTGGGACAGCAACTACTAGGGCAGCGACAACTGGGCAGCGACTACTAGAGCA